ATTTGATATTTTTACAAATATCAACTATTGTATAAAATGTTTGACAGATAATCATTATGAAGCCTAGTATTGGTTAAACAATGCTAATGAATCCTAAAGTATAACTTTAAAGTTAAGACCTATTGGTTTTTATTTTGAATTCTTAAAAAGCAAAGCAAATAAGAGGAATTTAATAGAACCAAGGGAAAAATCACAAATTATATATTAAATTTATAAGTGAAAGGTACAGAAGCAAAATAAAGATGAGAAATTTTCCCACTCCTTCTCCTGCCTTTTCTTCTTTGATTCTACTACATTCCTATCTGGGAACATGCGCATTCCTGGTTCTTGTTGTCAAAGAACTGCCCCTACCCAAATATTTCAACTGTGATATAGCAGAATGATCAAAAATTCTCAACTCTTTCGGGGGAAGGCAGGAAGGAAACATTCTGGTGTTGTTTCTAGCCTCATCTTCATTGTCCTGCTTACAGAAACTGCCTCTCCAGTTAACCCTTATTCCATTGTAACAGCTAAAGTGAAGCGCCCATTGATGTGAGTGACGTTGAGTTGGCCATGCCCACCCACTCGCTTGACCACTGAGCCATGCCTACCCAGCTGGGTAGATGGCTAACTTTTTTGTTGTCGCATACTAAAACCCATAATGCAATGCGTGTGTGACACCCCTGTGCGTCCTTTGTCATCAGGGACCTAGATAGTTACAGAGAGAGAGAGGGGGGGAGGGAGGGAGGGAGGGAGAGAGAGAGAGAGAGGGAGGGAAGCTCCTAGTGCAGGGGTGGGCAATTAATTTGCCAAATGGGTCACATGAGAAACTTGGACTGTTGTGAAGGGCCCCTGCTCTGCACTCTGCCAATTCCCTCCATCCCTGCCCCCCCACTGGAGACACTGCCATGGGCCAGACAGATATAGCTGAAGGACCACAAAATGCCCAGGTCTATGCTAGTGAATGATACACAAGTAATACTGAAGGCTTCTGATAAACACAAATCACATTCACACACCCCGCTCTCATGTTCCAGAACTAGCAGGAAACTATGCTGCCCTAAATATTACTGAATCCAGTAATATTACTGCACTCTTCTGTGCAATTGGGATACATACAGATTCAAAAACACAATATTCTGAGGCCCATGATTGATGGTTTCTCAGCCGAAATTCTAGTCCTATCCAATATCATCCACCATGTGAAAAGCCTTCTCCAATTGGTATACATAATACCCTGGTTACTCCATTTATTGCATTTCCCCCTTTTTCATTATTTTGTGAGTAACTTCAAACAAAAACAAAACTTTTTAAAACAATGGAGCACTCTTTCACTTGTTGAGCACTAGGTGACAGCAAAGAACATTGAGTTTATGTATATTGTAGCTGCTATCTTATGGTCATCTGGGTATGTGAAGCTGTCGGGTAAGTGAAGTTTAAGGATTGGAGTTAGACCAGGGGTGTCAAATTCGCGACCCAGGCATCACACACTGGTTGCGCTCACTCCTGGTTAAGTGAAGGGGGGAAAAGTCATGATTCATTACGTGACGACAACGTGATGCCATGAGTTTGACACCCCTGAGGTAGACAAAGGGCTTTAAGCTGTGGGGATTGGCAAGTACCCGAAGAACTCTAAAATACCTTTATGTGAGATGAGAATCAGGTCTTCTGGGAGCAATAGCTATAGGAAAGGGAATTCAGAAATTGCAATTATGTAGTGTATACCTGCAAATTCTGAAATGCATAGAGCAAAGTATGCAAGCACAATATGAATTCCTGCTTAATTACTACAAAACCTTCCATAAAGCTCTATTTTTTTTTAAAAAAAAGGGAGGGCTAATATTTGGTGTTTTTAAAAGGAGTGAGACAGCAAAGCAGCTGATAATAACTTAAGTAATCTACAAGATGTCAAGTTCATTTTGGAGAAAGCTGACTGCAAGCCCACCACATTACAGTCTAAATTGGCTCAACCAAAGCATTTCCTTACCTAAAGACGTGAGGCCAACAGTCTGGATTCTGGCTTCCCATCTCCAATCCCACAGCAAGAACAGCATCCATGCATAAAACATGAGCGGTGTGGAGGCAGACACCTTGCGCCTTCCCCATCTGCTCCAGTTTCTGCTCCACTTTCTGTTTTACTGTATCATTATATATTCAGACAGAAAAGAATCTCTTTTAAACGCCTCTTGAGTTTCAGTGCAATATATAAATACCCCTGAGCCTTTTTATAACTTTCCAGCAAATTAAAGCAGAAATGGTTTGAGATGGGCCACTGAAGGAACCAGAGTGGGTGGGGTTAAAAAATTTCAATTTCTTAATTTTGCTGTGGTGGATTGGAGGGATTTAATATGTGGAGAGTATGGAAGCACTACTCCTCCCTCTCAATCAAGCTATTTTTCCCCTTCTTTTAATAACAGATTTGGAAGGGACCTTGGGAAACCTAAACCACTTCAAACAAATGGTTATTCAACATCTTCTTTAAAACTTCCAGCGTTGGAGCATTCACAACTTCTGGAGAAAAGTTGTTCCACTGATTAATTGTTCTAACTTTCAGGAAATTTCTCTAAGTTTGTTTCTCTCCTTGATTAGTTTCCACCCATTGCGTCTTGTTCTACCTCAGGTGCCTTGGAGAATAGTTTGACTCCCTCTTCTTTGTGGCAACCCCTGAGATATTGGAACACTGCTATCATGTCTCCCCTAGTCCTTCTTTTCTTCAAACTAGACATACCCAGTTCCTGCAACAGTTCTTCATAGGTTTGAGCCTCCAGTCCCCAAATCATCTTTGTTACTCTTCTCTGCACTCTTTGTAAGTGAAGAGTAAAAATTGATGCCATTAAGTGCTGGAATGTTTAAGGAAAACTATTTTGCCCATTCCAGTGTCATCACAATATCATTTTTTATTTCGCCCAAACCCCCAGGCAGAAGAAAAAGAAGTTCCCAGTTAGAAAAAAAAAACATTGCCCCATCCTATATTAAAGCATGGAAAGGAAAGGAAGGAAACAGTTTACTGGCAGTGTTCCCAACCTTCAAATATTCAGCAGAAAAGGTTAAAAAAAAGTTGAATGCAGACAGATTAAATGGGCATTTTTTCTGATTTTCAGCAAGCAATATGTGTGTGCAAGTATGTGGATCAAAAACAACTTGAACTAATAGGTTGGGCAGAATCAGAAAGTTCAAAGCCATTTCCCCTTCTATATATTAGTGTCTATTATGAAGAGGTGAAATGAGTCTGAAAACATCAGCAGATAGGAAATAATCTCACACTCATATACCACCAGCTATAGTTTCTTTATTTATAGGATTCCTGGTTGCAACTCCAGTCAAAACTTATCGGGAATAAACTAAAAGTCTCCCTCAATATGTTTATTACTTTAATACATTCATTTTATTTTCTTGACAATGTATAGAAGTGGTCCGCCATCATCTACTTTGGGAATCTTCTTTTTCTTCAACTGAGTCAAATTTAATAGTTTGAGATTATCTCCCATCATGTATGAATGGGATCCAACCCTGCTAAGCCTTTTCACAATTCGAAAAGTCAACTGAACATTGTCACCTATTGTGACAATACTATGCCATAATAAAATCTATTCCTAAAGGGACTCTATATATAACATTTCTATTCTTGTTTTATGCAACAGGATTCTGCCTATTTTAAATCTGTAAAAGCTTTTCTTTCATTGCTTAAAGAAAGCATTCTTGATCTGGCAGAAGATACTAACCCACAGTAAGGGGGTAAAAAAATGAGCACTATGGAAATCATGAATATCTGACTGAAAGCCACTAAGCATCTGAGAAGTTGTACCTTGAGCAATGGCATCACTGGGCTCTTGGGCATCTCTTTCCTCTTTCTCCTCTTGAACACAAGAGGCAGCTGCCATCTGGGCAAGGGCTGATGCACAATTACCAGCAACTCCTACAGTAAGGAGGAAAACATCTGATGAATTATAGTTCATTCCAGGTGCCGTTAACCCAGTGGTGGGTTGCAGACGGTACGCCCTGGTACATGTGTACAGGAGCCAGCCCGGACCACTGGATACCGTTCCGGTACAGTGCTCCGGAGGGCCCACCCACCCATCTGAGCTCTTTAGCGGTGTTTAAAGGCTTCTGCGCTTCCACGCAGGCGCATGGCGCATACAGCGCCTGCATGACGCTCCGTGGAGCAGCTGGAACATCGCCGAACATCGCGGAGGCGCTAAGACGCATGAGGACGCCACTGGCCCTGTTCCAACCATATCTGTTGGAACGGGATTTGAAACCCACCACTGTGTTAACCGTCGCCCGGATTCGGACAGACTTGGACTCCAATTGCTCAGAGCCAGCCGAGGTACCGGGGGAAGGTCTTGAGTGAAATTTATGGACTGAGTTTCAACTTGTCACGCCTGAGGACATGGACAAGGCCATGGGAGCTGTGAGTGCCTCCACTTGTATACTGGACCCATGCCCCTCCTGGCTGGTCGTGAACAGCAGGGAGGTGACACGTGGCTGGATCCAGGCGATAGTTAGCACCTCTCTCTGGGAGGGATCCTTCCCGCCCCTCTTAAAGGTGGCGGTGGTGAGACCCCTCCTGAAGAAGTCGTCCCTGGATCCAGCCATCTTGAGTAACTACCGTCCAGTTTCCAACCTCCCCTTTGTTGGGAAGGTTGTTGAGAAAGTAGTGACATTTCAGCTCCGACGGTCCTTGGATGAAACCGATTATCTGGACTTCTTTCAGTCTGGATTCAGGCCTGGCTACAGCACGGAAACTGCTTTGGTCG